ACCTCGGCCACCGAAATGGGCAATGGATTCGGATTCAGGGCCCTCGATAACCTATAGCAAAGTTCACTCAAAACGACCAAAAGTCTTAAAATAAGAAAGTTCGTTTTTGATTGGTCAGTTCCTGACCAATAAAACCTCGGCCACCGAAATGGGCAATGGATTCGGATTCAGGGCCCTCGATAACCTATGGCAAAGTTCACTCAAAACGACCAAAAGTCTTAAAATAAGCTAACCTCTCTGGTATGTTCTTTTGACCCTGCCACAAACACACAAACACACAAACTATTTTTTTCCATATGACCCTCCCTACAGTCGAGGGAAAAAGCCATTTGTATATGTATAATGAGAAAAAAAATATGTGATTCATTAATTTATTTGTTATTACTACTAAGATTTTTTTACTGATTCAAATATTTAATCTATACATAATTTTATTTATAAAAATTCAGAGATATTTTTCAATGAGCGAAATTGACGTACTACGAGAATAAAATTCTTTTTTCTAATTATTATCAATAGAAAACATGTAGTTCAAAATACATGTTAAAATAAAACTATATTTGACGAATGCATGTTTTCTTTTTTATGTAATGCCTCTTTCTTCACATGTAATCAAAAAAAAAAAACATCGAATTTTTATAAAAAAATTAAATACGATGAAAACAAAATAGTGGAATTGTTATATCTGTCGAATAATTTTTATACGAGAGAAACATAATGAGAAATACATGAATATATTCATCAAATGTTGTACTATTATCATTATTGTCTCTTGGTTTGATCCCTATTAAAGCTCAGAAAATACTTCATTTCATTCTATTCAAATGACATTACTTCATAGATAGTGCTTTGTCAGGTAGCCTAGAAGTAGTTACCTCCTTCATTCACGAATATTAAAATATTCATGAATAATTCAACTATTCGAATCGATTTTATCAACAAGATCTACTTTGAAGGGTCTCTAACAAGCAAAACAATTATTTTCATCATTCAATTAAGGCAAACTAATAACGAAAACAACAAGACATGAATCAATTATGTCAGAGTGTTTAAAGAGCAGAAATATGATATACTGCATCATCAGGAAACTATTTTGAGATGAATTCGTGACTGTTGAAGCATGTAGATGAGCATTTACTTATCACGAAATGATTAACTTTTTTCATTGTATAACACTATAACTCATAGTTTGCTGTATATGTTTTAGAAATAAATGCTCTAGATGTGTCAATCTTTTAGCTTTTGATAGTTTTTTTGAAAAATTTATGCGTCAAGATTGAAAATGATAGTAAGTTTAATGAATTCAATGAATCAGTTTTCATAATTAAAGGAGAAGTTTTGATGAAAAACAAAATTCGAATTGATAAATTAACTTGTCTTAGATCCTTATATCAAGATGAATCATATAAAAAAATATTTTTCGATTCATTGATCAATATTATGTTTCGAAGCAATTTTATGAATAAGTACACTTGAGAAATTATTCACTATGTTAAAATAAAAGTTTCTTAAATTTTTTATAAAAGGAAAAAAACAATAAATGATGATATCACTTCACATTTCTTTTTATTTAGTTTCAATTTATTTGTACATATTTGTATAATAGAAAAGTCTGTCTTCCCACCGACTTCCAGCGTCGGATCAATGATTCTAGATTGCTCTCACATGTATAAAGAGACGTCAATTTCTTGTTTTAATCATTTTGAAGACGATATTTTAAAAATAAAAATCTCATGACATAAGATGAAAGAAAAATAAATGAAAAATAAAAGAATATTAAAAAAAATTATTTTCATTTATCATTCAGAATAGAGGAGTCTAAAAAGAAAAAAACTATTATTTTCAGATTTAACCGAATGAATTCATCGTTGTATGATAGAAAGAAATATATATAAAATATTGCAGATAAATTTTGAAATATAATTAAAGGTTTTGTTCTCATCGTTGATTTCTCTAAATATAAGTGTTCGACCCACAAAGTGTATATATAAGATAAAAACTTTTTTCGTCGATGACGATAGATATTAATGTACGTCAGACGAGAAAAAAAATTATACACATATCACTACCTAAAAATTGATCATCAAATCAATTATGTAATGTTATGTGTTGAATGATTGATAAGAAAATCAATTAAAATCATGAGCATCGATCAATTAACCTGAGGGTGTATAAAAACATGAATACATCATCATGAAACAATACACTCGAGTTGTATCATAACAATGCATTACAATGTATTTATATACCCGGGTTAATTATTATTATGATATTATTTACAATGATAATGATGTATTGTATTATATTTAAGGTAAATTAATTCATTTTATATTTAAAATTATACTTTTCTTTTTTAGATGAGCTACGATACGATATAACATTGAGAGGTAGGACAAAAAAAATTTTTTTACATGTTGAGTTGAGTTGAGATAACTTATTTTGAGAGAAAACAAACACTGTCAGTCATTATGAGTATAAGTATGAGTACGTTTGAGATGAGATGAGTTGAGTTATAGATGTTATCAGTGTGGATCAGAGAGCTATGTTGTCTGACTCAATAGGTAGAGGAATTTTCTTGCCATAGCGAAGCAGTGTAGTACTAGGGAAGGCCTCTATGAGTCGTTGGTTCCAACCGTTCATACGGTATATCTTCGGCCATTGCCCTACCAGTCCGGCGTGGTCCGCCTGTGGTACCTATGGTATTGACAAGGGATCTCTCCCTTGTCGCGCGCGCGCGAATAAGCCAAAATGGGCAGAGAAAAATCGAAACGATTAGCAATGTGAATAAATTTATTAAGCAATCAAAAACAACTGTTTACATTTTCTTTTTAACATGATCAATGTTATCTTTCGTTGCTTTAATTAGAGGATGTGTTGACGGAAGTGATTTTTGACGAATAGCAAGTGCCTTTTCTAAGAATGAAAGTGCTTTCGAGTAGTCTCCTTTGCCGAAATATGCAACACCAATGTTGTTGTAGGAAGTAGCCAATGAGGAATGATTCGGCGGCAGAGCTTTTTCTCTTATTTTAAGCGATTTTTCGTAAAATTCAAGTGCTTTCGAGTAGTCACCCATGTTCTTATACACTTGACCGATGTTGCCATATGAAATAGCCAATGAGGGATGATTCGGAGGCAGAGCTTTTTCGAAGATTTGATATGATTTTTCGTGAAATTCAAGTGCTTTCGAGTAGTCACCCATGTCGTCATACACCGAACCAATGTTGTTGTAGGAAGTAGCCAAATCGGGATGATTCGGAGGTAGAGCTTTTTCTCTTGTTTTAAGTGCTTTTTCGTAAAATTCAAGTGCTTTCGAGTAGTCA